ATTGCACTGGTCGCGATGGAATTGGCGCACTACCACATGGATATTGAGGCGCTCAGTGAGTCCAGACCCGCTGAGCAAGGGTAGTTGCATGAAGCAAGTTCTGGCGACACGTTCTACTGGGTGAGCAATGCCACCTCAGCACCACGTGAACATGGGGTCGGATTTGCAATATCCGATTGCCTCCACGGCCAGCTCGTGGGTGAACCAACAGGCATCAGCGCGCGACTGATGACTGTTCGCCTACTGACTGTTCGTCACCTGCGGTCAGACCAAGTGTTATCCTGATGACATGCGTGATCAGTTCTACATTCAGTTATCCTCCGTGATCCGGTCTGTGCCGAGGAGCAACTGACTATTTCTGCTGGGTGATTTCAACGCGCACGTCGGGTGTGATGCATTGGTGTAGACAAATGTTATCCGTCCGCATGGCATTGGTTCAGGGAATGCGAACGGTGACAGGCTGCTCTCACTGTGTGCCACTCAAGGCCTGACGATCACGAACACTCGGTTTGCACTGGGTGCGAGTGATATAGTAATTTGGACGCACCCAAAGAGTGGTCACGCTCACCTGCTCGACTAGGTCATCGTACGTCAGCGTGATATGCGTGAAGTGTGCAAGACACGTGTACTGCGTGAAGCTGAGTGTGGCACAGATCACAAACTGGTGCGGACCAAACTGTACATATATTTTCGTGGATCTATGTACTGCACTCCCGCCATGCATCGGAGTAAATTTATTATTCTCTCCCTCGGTACTGTGGCGAAACGTATTGAGCTGGAGAAGGCGATGGCTGCGCGCCTGATTGATGTAGACTGCATAGGCACCTTGAACGACCTGTGGCACCACATTCGCGACGAGGTGAGAGCTGCTGCCAAAGAGACCATCGGGCACACAAAGTTTAAGCGGCCTGATTGTTCTGATGAGAACAATACGACGATGGGCTTATTGGTTTGTGCGAAGAATGCGGCATTTGCTGCGCATGAAGCCGACCCCAGTGACTTGGGGAAGAATAGTCAGTTTCGCAAGCTACGAAAGCGACTGACCCAAGAGCACCGTCGCATACAAAATCCATGGTGGACGGAGAAGGCGAGGCAGATGGAATGCTACGCCGAACGCAGCCAACACAAGAAATTCTTTGACTACTTGAAGGCAGTGTATGGACCGAGGTTGGAGCCGCTGAGGACGCTGATCGATGGTGTTTCAGGCGCTGCGTGCACACAAACTGCAGACATAATGCAGCTTTAGCAAAATCATGTTGACTGTCTCTTGAACAAGCGTTCAGAGATTGAGCGGCCTCAAGCAGCACCATGGGAAGGTGAATCTGGTGAACAAGCGGACATGGATGTGACGCAGACAGCACTCGCTCAGCTGCGAAACTGGAAGTGTGCCGGTGCCGACGGGATCCCGCCGGAAGTATTGAAACATGGTGGACCCGCGTTGATGACTGCGCTGCACCACTTGGGGCAACGCGGGAGTGAATTGAGGAGGAGGTGCCCCTGAGCTGAAGGATATATTTGTGCTACCACTGTACAAGGGCAAAATGAGCAAGCAATGTTGCACGAATTATCGTGGCATCAACTTGCTGAGTTGTGTGAGCAAGGTAGTTTCCCGAATCCTGCTCAACCACCTCGTCAGTCAGGTTGTAGAGCTGAACGTGGGGGAAGGGGAATGTGGATTTCGTTCGGGTCGCAGCACCATCGATGGGATGTTTGCGGCTCATCAATTGAAGAGGGAGTTTTGAGAACGACACCACCCATTGTATGCGCTTGTCGTTGATTTCACCAAGGTATTTGATCCGATGAACCGCAAGGCATTGTGGCTGTTGTTGGGTTAGTTTGGTTGTCCAAGTTTGTAAATTCAATCGAATGCCTGCACAGTGGTGTGCGGGCGAGGGTGCAGCTGAGTGGACAGATCTCAGATGACTGCAATTATTTCTGGTGGGAAGCAAGTCTGTGTCTTAGCTCCTGCCCTGGTTAATATGCATCTTCAAAACGAAATAAATAAATAAACTTTTTATTCCTTGACAGTACGAGGCACAGAACAATTGAGTTATCTGCTCAACTTGTACAGCGTTATTTTGTAATATAGTTAATATTACATGCATGGTACAAAGGTTTTCAAATGGGTATTTAAGTGCTTAACATTTTGAAGTATTAGAGAGATTAAGAAACTGGAAAGAATAACTAATGTAGGCTTAACCGAAAGTACAAATAAAGTGATAAGGCCATCCATGGAACTGACCCTAGGGGACCTGCTTCCATGCAGGGTATTCCGTCGATGAACTTCACTCGCACTTCCATGCCCCAACTGGCTTTGTGCCATGATGTCACGTGCTTTTGATGCGGTTTGTGCTTACGGTGTTCGTGTGAAGCGCCGTATTAATGGTGATTTGCTGAAAGTCCGTGGTTTCGGTGCGAAAACCCTAGTCTGTTGGGCAGCTATCCATATGTTGCTCTTTGCTGACGACTGTGCGTTATTTGCACATAGTGCGGATGAGTTGCAGCACATGACTAGTGCTCTGGCTTCGATGGCGACTACGTTCGGGCTCAAGTTCAACACAAGCAAAAATGTTTGTCTCTTACAGCATTCATCGGAGGTGCAATCAACAATGGTGCCGCGAATCAGCATCGGTGCTGAAGGATTGGAAACCTCCTCCCTCTTCTACTACATTTGGAGAGTAGTGTCAACTGACCAGCGATTACACAGTGAGCTTCGTATCTGCGTCTCAAAGGTAGTGGCGGCATTCGGGAAGCTTGAGTACCGAGTGTGGAACAACCATCAGCTTACCGCCGGCACGAAGCTGATGGTGTACAAATCCGTGGTGTTGTCTGGCAGCGAAACGTGGACGATGTACCAGCGGGATGTGCGATATCTCGAACCCTTCCTTGAACAGTGTCTGCGACGGATTCTACGTATTGGTTGGTGCGGCATACTTGCGGATTCGAAGTGTTGCGCCAAAGTGGAATGTATGCAGTGGACTACATACTTTTGCTGAGACACTTTAGGGAGCTCGGTCATGCGTGGCGTATGGATTCGACGCGGATACCGAAGCGGCTATTATATGGTCAACGGAGTTTGGGGAAGTGGCATGTGGGGAAAACGAAGTTGCATTTCCAGGACATGAGCAAAGTGAACCTCTCACGTTCTAATCTTGATTGCAGGTCATGAGAATCGAAACCGGTGAATCGGCGTACATGGCGCGATCTAATCACGAAGGCAGTTGCTGAAGTGCGGGAGAAAGCCCTCATGCAGGCAGAGAAGAAGCGGCAAGTGCGGAGACGACAGGCGCCGATGGGTTTTACTCCATCGGCATTGAGCGCATGATACTGTAGCACCTGCGGTCGCGAGTGCCTGAGTCAGGCAGGCCTAGTGAGCCATGAGCAATCTACTCGGGACCACTACGACGGGTCTTGCTGAGCACGTAGGCAGAACTAGTGCAGCGTTTGTAGGTACGCTGCATTCGATTCACTAACTGCCTGCTTGCATGCTGAGTCTTTATTTCAAGTGGTGGGTTTCCTATATTGTCCTAAGGTATCTTTTATCTTATATCCATATTTACCTGAAATATCTACTGTACACTAGCATACGTCGCTCAAGCTAATTGTAGTTCAATAACATTTTCGCGTTTGTGTCATTCTCTTAAAATATATTTCGTTACGTCGCACTTTTCACAGAGTACTTCATAACCAATTTATTTCAAATGCGCATATAGTGAAGAGTTGTGTCACCGTATCTGTATGTATTAAACGATCGATTTATGTTAATTGATCGCGTCGTCCCAAGTGATCGGTAGTTGTTTGACATTCCAGGTGTGGCTGCGCTTGATGTGCATGTTGACAAGGTGTCTAATACCCACTACCTCGTCCATACTGGCTCCAGGCGACAGTTGGTTCTTGCTGGAGGGGACGACGTACTCGGTCCTTGTGGCCTTGCTAGGCTCAAAGAGTGCTTTCATGCATTCAGTGTGGAGCGGACTACGGTCCAGCCACCGCGTGCTTGTGTTTTCCTGTGGAGGAGTGTGGGCCGGCTCAGTTAATGAAATGTGGCTCCCATCCACATACCTCCCGGTGTTATTCCTTCGGGTTTACACTGGATATGGGGTGTGTGGATGGAGGTGTGGGTGGCGCAGCGCAAGCCACCCATGGTGCCTCTGTAGGCGCAGGCGTCCTGTGGCTGGCCCCAGTGAGAGGCGAATCTGAAACCAGATGCTGAGAAATATATATATATATATATATATATATATATATGCGCTTGAATAGGTTAGCTGGTGTTTTATTGAGCGTCTGTTATTGCTATGAAACTGGTATGACAGAAACCTGAATGGCCATTATCTAAAGAATACTTATAGGATGAAGGCTGAAAATTGAACGCAGGCTGAATAAGATGCGTAGAGTCATGCCATCCCCTGTCTTTCACAATGCAAGGCAATGATTCACGTTGTTATTATTAAAGACCAAGCAAAGTTAATCAAAGAGGGACATTCGTTTCCGCTGAAACAATCGTTGCTCTCGGATCTCAGTGGTATAGTGCTTATGGTGTCAACCATGAGCCACTAGGCTCTGAGTTCCAGCCCAACGCAGCCTACCTCCAACTGATGAGTCCCAACCAGGACGAAACCGTGGTCTCAGGGTGCCAATGTTGGGATGAGCAACACCATAATTTCCAATAAGGCACATCGTTTCCCAGACTAAGGGCTTATATTTGAATGCTATTATTGCAAGTATTGGTTTTGTGAAAAGATTATGTTATTTGACGGGAAATGTCCAGAGTATTCCGAGGATTTCTGACATGCGCTTTAAGACCAGAACGCTGCCCATTCAGTATTAGAACGGATACATGAAATTAAGTATTCCACGTTGTGTTCAGAAACTTACTATTTCCGTTTGACTGGACCATCTACGTAACATACTTAAAGCCTTAACCGTCTTCTATATAATCACGTTCATGCCATTATTCGCCCATGATTGTATGTGTTCTTCGCCCACCCTACCGATTGCAGAGCAATGAGTCAAATATGGCCATCAAATTGCATTTGGTTCGAGAGCGATTCGCACCGCTCAACGGTATTATTACCAGCCTCCCAGTTCAATTCAACGTGACTTGCCTGATTCCACGAAACCGACAAATTCACTCCGTCCCTTTAATGTCTCCGCACATGGTCTCCAACTTGGTTGGCGGAAGCCAAGAAATGCAAGCATCGCTCAAGTTGTATCGGGACACAAGGTTTGTTGTGATCTAGGATTTTCCTTAGCCTATTCTTAAAGTTAGTTCCTTTCCAGACTTATCGAACCAAACACGGTGCGAACTTATTGCAGACTGCAACGGATGTTCATTCGGTTAAGTTTAATGATTTACTGTCGGTATAATAACCACAAAATAGTAAGGACAGAGACTAGACGATCGATAAGAGCCTAGTAAACACACAAAATATTGAGACAAAGGTCGAAGTACATCACTAGGTTGGCGAGCTAATGCGGAAGGCACAGCAATGCTGCTCGGTGTTTTCTCAACTAATCGACGCTTGACGCATGCAGAAATATGCAGTTACAGAAAGCTAGACCATGTACACCGCGTAAACAGCCTCTTTGGCCCCCTGGTGCATCGTGTTGCCTGGCGTCAAGTAGAACTATAAGTGACTGCCTACACACCTCAACCAGACCATCTTACAGCTTACCACAATCATAAAGGGATAATAATCGAATGAACATTAAAAAGTTAACAATAACATCTCATACCATACACCACACCCACGCAGCTCTTCATAATCCACCGCTTTTTTGCAACTGATTTTAGCACAGGTTGGAGCGGTTCGGCAAAACTTTCCGATCATTGACACATCCCGCAGAAGCAGTCTATCTGGTTCCACCCATCTCTCAGTTCTGTCACGTGAAGAATTCCCACAATGCCAGGCGAATGTTAAATTTGATTAGGAGCCTTAATCCTTTCTAATCACCCAGGCTTATTAGCGCGCAAAAGCGAAACGATGCCCTTGCAGTCGAGTTTGATATCGATAGAATCTTCTCTATCACTAAGCTAGTTAACTTTCGTTCCCATCATTTTTGGTTCTCAAGACCTGGACATATTTGTGACGTCCAGAAGAAACCTTCCTGTACACAACCTTTTTCACTTGTCCTGGTAAAATCAAAATGCATAAAAATACATTAAATTTTCTGAATACAATTGTACAGTCAAGCTCTCGGTATGTCACCGTCGTCGCTGAAACGTGGTACTCCTCTGAGAGGTTGGATTATTCTCTGAACAATCCAAGCTACCGCCTCATTCGAATGGATCACACCACAAAATGGTGAGATATATGTAATGCGCATCCGCACAGTTTATCAACAGCAGCGCTTTATGGTCACCTACATTTATGCAGTGGCACCGAATATCTATGACTATCAACCGCAGTAGCCTACGCCGCAGTACTCCTTGGCTACAGTTTTAAAACCCATAGGGAGTGATAGCTAGCCACATCACTATTGTCGCCTCTGCCTATGAATTTGCTACACAAAGCATAGTCACTTTTGATTTTGTTAGCAAAAACCATCTCATCTACACATCCATCCTCATGGTTGCACACATATCCCTTGTTGACCATCCGAGTTGGTGGCTGGGCTCAGTGGATCACCATTCAAACTAGATCGACCAAATTACTGGACACCCTCTCCGATAATGACAACAAGATGCTACAGCTTACTGTCTATATTGGTACCCAGCCAAGCTCAATTATCCAATGGCGCATGTTAAAAGGAAGGGTTTACAGTGTCAAAGTTCGCGCGACAGCATTGTATGGATGCGAATTCTGGCCGACAAGTGTAGACATGCCTAAGTTTTCTGTATTTGGCAAGGACAATTTCGCAGCATTCTTTGTGTAGAGTGGTAACACCGAGTGCGCGATGATGATGGCAGACTGCGTTTTGAGCAAAGCAAAGCTTCTCCTCTGTGAGCTTGTTCTGTGGCACCAATTGAGACAGTTTAACCACGTCCTGCGGATGGGTTCACCAGGACGTGCTCTATTTGCGCACGCCCGGCCGCAGTGGTAGAGTCCTCGTGGAGGTCACAAGCATGGAGCCACTGACCTCTTACCCAGCCATCGCTCGCTCCATATGTTCTCTCGCTCGGTGACCCATAATTAGAATACTGAATATTGTAGATGGAAGCAAGTAGAAATATAAATCTGTACGATCCCATCGCACTATAGACAAAAGGTTATAAAAATTGTCTGAACCCTGTGATAAGCGAATCTTTCGACAAGTTTTTATGTAGCAGTTTAGAATATCTGACTTAAAGTTTCATAGGTTTCACAAATGGAAGATGTCATCGCTAGTGTGCAATCGTTCTCTGAATCGAATGGGGCTGAAATTTAAATCCAATAACGTTTTGAACAGTTGTACAGATCTAGCCTCCGCGGCTTGTACTGGCAGACTGTTCCAACAATTTACCACTCTCCGTTCGAAGCGCAGGGAGTTTGGTAAAGGTGTTATATCCGGCACCACAAGCTTGTACCGGTGTCCGCGTGTGTTGCATGGCGTTCGCAAAAAAAGCAGCGGCTTCAACATGGGGAAGTCACCGAGATGTAATATATCATAGGTCATGGTGAGATCGACTCACATCCGACGATTGAACAAAATGTAGAGTCCGAGCTTTCCGCACCGGTCTTCGTACGACAACTCTCCTATACCTGGAATGAGCCTGGTAGCGACATGTTGAACCAGTTAGTTCTTCTTTATCTCGCCTCTGATGATTGGGCTGTAGGCAGGTGAGCCGTACTCCAGTATTGGTCTTATTCTGGAAGAGACTAGTGGCAACCTCTTCAGACCAAGTACTGAAGCTGCGTTTGATCGCCCAAAGCATGCGCACTCCTTTAGGAAATAGACTGTTCGTGTTGCCAATAGACTTCAAAGCCTAGCGCGAGGATACACCTAGGTCCTTTACGGAAGGTGTGGGATGTAGCGGTTGGCCATCAATAGTGTAAATGCGGTCATCACCACCCTTTCCCAGGCTCATAAATACCGACTTGTCCGGAGGCGGACTTCCGCAGACGAAATGGAGAGGCGGTTGAGGTCGTGCTGAAGTAGACTGCCGTCGTCTGGGGTGCTAATTTCCCTCCAAATTCCCAGATCATCTACAAACATGGCACACGGCGACCGAAGGAGCTAAGGTAGATTTTTGATGTGGATTAGGAACAGAGTGGGCACCAGCACTGTGCCTTGGGGTATTCCACTAGTAGAAGGATACCAGTTAGCTGGATAGCCATCGACCTGTACCCTCCACTTTCATCCAACGAGAAAATCGTGGATTATCTGGCGCAGTGATCCACCAACACCACACATTCTCAGTTTGTGAAGGAGGACCTCATGGTTTACCTTGTCGAACGCTTTACTGGAATCAGTGTAAAATACCTCGACGGACTTCCCCTGCTTTACTGCTTGCAACCATTCATGCCTCGACACCAGCAGGTTGGTAATGCATGAACGGCCTAGCATAAAACCGTGCTGCGCGGGCGTCAGTAGATCTTTTGAATGGAGCAGCTGTAGTAGACCATTATTCACGATCTTCGCAGCAACATTGGACAAAATACGTGTCAGACAAATTGCCATGTAGTTGTCCAATTTGCTGGGGTCACCGCACCTCGGAATCGGCTTAAACACTGAGCATCTCTATTCGCTCGGTAATGAACCTAATGGTAGTGACCTGCTGAGCAAGTCAGTCACAGCGGGTGAGATGATGTCCGATAGGGAGTTGGGAATCAGGGGGTGGAGTCTGTTAGGGCCAGCAGGTTTGGTGCTGTCAAGATTGGTGAGTAGTTGATGCACTTCGTCAACACCGCAAACTAGACTGTCGCTTTCGGTAGGCGAGATACAAGTCGAACCAGGTACAGACAGCTGGTCTTTTGCAAACACCGAAGCAAAGTACGTCACCAAGGCGGACACACGCTCAGAGTTAGATATTGAGGGCTGTCCGTCCAAGCACTCCAGCAGTGACAGATCACCTTCTGGTTTGAGGCGACGCTCCAAGTAAGCAAGTACTCCTTTAGGAGTTGTCTTTGCGCTGGTTGTGAACGGATGTTCGAAATGCCGGCGCTTGCTCATTTTTTGCACTATTCCAAATATTTCGCTGTCTCTTATACGCCTCGTAATCATTGGAAGAGCTGGAGAAGAGAAATTTCTCCCACAGTTTTCGCCGCCGCCAAGCCATTTTACTATACTAATTGTCGAACCCGTGCGGCTTGACTAGTCCAACTTTCCGACACTTCAATGGTACAAACTGAGAACACAAGAATGTCAGTGTTTATGTAATAACAGTCCACTAGTCTTCCACGGATGCAGTTTGCAGCAGAGACCAATCTACTTTGCTCGAGTTAGACCTTGCCAGTTTGCCAATAGTTGTAATTTGGCTTCAGCGGATGGGAATACGGTAAAGATAGATCCATACCGGCTATGAGCACTGAGTGGTCGCTTGCTACTTGAGGTTCTAAGATCTGAAGGTCATACACTTGCTCATAGCTTGCTAACACCAAGTGCCAGTGCATTACAACACTGAAAGTAATGACGCCAACCCAGCAGCACTGGAACCAATGTGTGCAAGTTAGCTTAAATGCCATATTTCAAAGCATTAACACTTGCATAGATAAAAAAGGGTAAATTTTTTGTGAAAAATAACTAAAGTATTGTTGTCTTCCAATCTTCCTCATTATGGATTCTGTCTTTAAAATGCTGTACAGATTATATGTAAGTATATTCTCTTCTATTAAAATATATCGTCCGTTATGCCATCACTTTCAATGAACCTGTTCAAATTAGCACCGGAATCTGCCCATTTTCCTGGTCAGTGGAAAATCATTTTTGTCACGTCATCAAGTTAGTCCAAAGAAGTCGTTAATAATTGACCCCCGTTCAACTCCTATAATTGCTACATTTTATGAAATTAAGTAATTAAGTAATCGATAAATATCTGTCGTCTTGGACGGCTTAGCAAATCCCAACACAGATTCCTCAACAAACGCTCCTGCATAACCATCAGTTGAACTGCATCGACTGTATCACAGAACCAATTAACTGTAGCTATGCAGTAATCATCGTATACCTTGATACCGGATACCTTATAAACGAATAATGAGAATAATCGAGTCCTTTGGAGCCGGACACTCGCTATTGAATTGAGCGACATCCCACCTGAGTGGAGGTTCCCAGAGTCACTTTGAGTGACTATCTTTCACTTTCTCCCTAGTTTTATCCTAGATGGCGTACTTAATCGCTCGATTCCTATACTATTACACTACAACATTAATATCAGGTCCGTCGGCGATAGCAGTTCCGTTTTATGTTCAGGTGACAATCAGAATGTTTCCGTGTTTCGATTAGATAAAACCCTGAGCACACTGCTGTTCTGTTAGGAATGCATCAATCTACCTAACAAGTGGTGCGACACATGACCGATGAAGTTTCGAACTAAAAAAGCATTTATTCTACAAATGTTCGGTACGTGAATGGTCGTGTAAATTTCACAATGAATGCTTATGTATAAAACTGTCGGCTTGTGATATAGGAATACAACATTCCTTCAACTTCAACCTTCCAGATCAGGAGGATCATCAGATAGTGCAGGCTAAGACTTCTATAAATAACACGTCATGACATCCATACAGTCCTTGTCAAAGTTGAGATTTGTAAACTCCCTACCCTTCCCATCCTTGAGCATCAATCATGAAAACATACGTATGAGTGAAGAAAATCTCTGGGAAGTTTGTAAAGTTCACGCAATAAAGTTTTGTTTAATAAAACGGCTACCATGAGCTAACAAGAAGGTTGCAATCGAAATCAACTCGAACTGTTTTGGCTACAAGGACTGAAATGTAATTTGCTGCTCTAGCAAAATCCGATAAATTAAAAGACATCCTATCTGGCAACATTAGAATTGCAACATAACTTCTTTCTCAGACTGCGAAACAAGGCATGCAAAGTGACTGTACGAGCAATCCTGACAGCTTTTTGCTCTAATTACTTCGCCGTCAGCTACACTGTCCTCTGACAGCTTAACCATCACTATCAAGTCTTTTGACAATGCAAGAACATTCCGCATTTAACTTCGCGATTTCCTTACCAGAACTCCATAATAGCCATGTTTTAGTAAGGAGAATCTCAAAACCGGTTTCTCAAGGATTGGCTAAATAATATGCAGCCAGTAGGAAAAACTTGCCCAAAATAAAACAGAAACAAATGGGTGTTTCCGCATGCTGTAACAAAACAAACTACCGAATTCTTTTCTCGCTCCAGTATGAACGTGAGTATAATGGATCTAATGACCTGTACCTATTGCAGAAACAGCTCCTCGTAATCCCGAGAAATATGACTGTAATGATAACACTATTATTAATAATGATAAAAGTAAACTTTATTCTAAGCACTCCGGTTTATGCAGTTTTGCTTATTAATATTAGTGTTATTTATAAAAATCATGTTTTTAGATCATTTACTCCAGATAAATTTTGTTAATTCGCTAATTAAGTGCCTCCACACTTCCTTACATAAACCTTTCATTTCTCTTGTGTTTGTCTTAACTAAGGTTCGTAGCTATAGGTACCACAATAATAACAAGCTAAATGTTCAGCAGACTAGGTCATTACTTAGTTACTTGATTAGTTAGTTGAATGGTTGAATACTTGTGACGTCCCTTTATTTAACAGTTTATATGTTGGTTTGCTGGGGTCCGTCTGACCTACTGCGTAAAATGTATTAGGGTGATGAAGCTTGAACGTATCACCGAATTACCATAAATACATGGAAAAGAAAAGAAGTTGTATCCAAAATAGATGTCATTAAGCAAATTACTATGAACCATACAAAGCAATTTGCCCCACTTTCTTCATAGATTATTACACCCTATCAGGATTGGAGTGAACCGTTTATTAAAATCTCATCAGATTTAATTTGGCTGTTGTTTCGGCATCGCGTGAGCTCGCGATTCAATCCTCTAAAATTGGGCACACCTCACTTTTCGCATATCCTCGTGTCACCTTTTTATTTGCAAAAGACAACATCAGTTGCGGATCAGCAGCGAGAGTACCAACTAACCTGGTGCCTGTTGTTGGGTGTCCGGATTTGTTCAATGATGGTAGTGCAAATTTTATTGCTTGAGCAACATGGCTTCTTGATCTCACAGTTGTAATAAATAGCAAAATTTCTTGGGATATTACTAACCGATTCCGAATCCTGCGAGGAATGGAGACTGCAAAAAAGCAGATACAGTGTGCCTCACTTAGTGGCCAATCTATAGCAAAGCGCTCAATCAGCAGGTAGAGTAAATTTGCGAAGTACGATAATCCCTTGGTAAGCACGATTTGTGAGGATAACCGACCAAAAATGGACTTCATCTTAGAGCAGTAAAGTAGCGCTGTTCCAGCATCAGCGCCAGATTGCGCAAACTTAGGAATACGACGCTTCGTCCAACTCACAAACAACTAGTCTTAGCTATGCTAACTACTTAATGCTACTCAGTATTGGGTAGTACAACCATGCTTAGACAGAAACAGACTAGTTGCGCCTCGTCGCGAAAAAATGTTTAGTTAGTTAAGTATCAAGGTCGCTAAATCCAAACCGCAAGTGGTTTCGATGAAGTCGACCCTCTCAGTCTACCTCCGTACACAATCCGCCCATACTTCAGCTGCTAGAGGCGCCTTTGTCGCCGTTCTGATGATTTTATCTGTCCAACGATCTAGGGATGTCCACAACTTAGACTGGGTACGTAAAAAGTAGTTCGCTTTTAAACTAGAGTTATCCTTAAAAATATGATTAAAAAGGAATCCTCACATTTGACTAAGCCTTAATAACTGCAGAACGAACATCATTTTCCATAATGCGTGTAGTTATGTTCAAGGAGTCGCTTATTAGTTAGAAATTCATGCCGTCTTAGAAACATCAGACTTTCATCTGGTATCCATAACTTGTTCCACTCTTACATCCTCCTATCAAAATTCCTTCGGCCGGTTTCCTAAGGAGTGTCGCATTTCGTTGTCGGTCACCGAAATGAAACGGGGCTTTTTATTTACGCTGCAACTACTACTGAATTATCAAGATATATGATCTTTCTCTGGTTATTTGTCTGTTGGCTACCATAAAATGACACGAATCAGTTTCCACAAGAAAATGCTTACCAAACTGGCCTCTACGCACTGATGTGCGACACAATAAATAAACTGGGGTTACTTTAACACTTAATGCATTTCCCTGCTTGGAATGTATTCCTCTTATCTACTAGTGTATTCATTGCTGTGGAGCAGTTTTATTTCCATATTCACTGCGCTATAACCCTTGTTGTATAAAATATGATGACAATACCCATGTCTTAAAAGCCTGCCGTCGAACACTCAGTCAGCCAGATAACCAGAAAAGTGCTACAAAATTCAGCAGAGGCCTATGATTTTTCACTGATCATACAAGTGCATAAATTTCCCAGCAAAATCAAATATGCGCAGTTAACGCAGTGAAAAGAAGAACGAGTTGCTTAACACTGGTGGATTTTCTGGTTGGACAGGCTAAACTTGAACACAACCGGATCAATCGGATTCGTCATTATCTGGAAAGCGCAGTGCTCTTTTTTGTGATGAAAAACACACGATCGCCTCCATACAGTCCCAGACCACATTGGGATAAAACAGACATATTTCGCACCGATCTTCATTAGTTCAAAACTTGTTATTCTAGAAATATATTAGCTAACGTTAGAAGATTGGCAAGGTAAGATGGGAAGGCAAATAACGTTTCGCTTTAAATCGTACTCTCGAATCTAAGGTGTTCTCTTCAGCATATATTTAATGAACGTCAAAAAGTAGTGTAACCGACGCATATATGAGGCTCCACACATAGTGGTTCGTGCAAAATCCTCAGACCAGCAGTTAGACATGGATTAATGGATCTCTCACATTTACTGGATTCAAACAAGTGTATCAAGGGAGGAGGATTCAAAGGAATAGCTTAGTTTCCGCAAATATTGAAAGAAGCCAATGAGACTGGTCCTGAATTATGACTGCACCGCAAGAGCGGTTTGTCTATGATTACCTCTCTTTGTATCACCCTGGCGCATATCATCCATGTGTCCGAGAACACGCAGTGAAACATGATATACTAAGGACCAAAGTTAGAGCCCGTAACTAGGATTAAGGTGCTCTGAGAGAGAGATCATCAGAAACTAGGTTCTTCTTATAACATAGTTTCATTCGGAAAAAGGCGACTTACAAAGCCTCCGTTGCGAACGAATACGCGCCAGAGTAGTAACTACCATCAACCTCGCATAATCAATTGTCGCTGGTTTCTGCTGACAATTTATCGTGCTCTGCTTGCTTCACTCTTTCAGCTTCTCAATCGCACTACCAAAGGAGCATACCGTTCGTCCCGGGGAAAAGGTATTCGCTTTGGTGACGCTTTCCAACCCGCAACCCTCCACCAAGTTAGTACTGCAAGATTGCTGGGCCACCAGAACGCCTGATCCCCAGTCAACACCACGCCAGGATCTCATCATAAATCGGTAATTGCCAAGTGCTTCGAACTGAATTGGTGCGTGGAAATTGTCATCATGGATTGCTGATACGCATTAATCACAGTAGGTGAAGGTGCGAGAGCGTATGCTCTATAGGGCTCAAAGCCTACGGTATCGAGAACAAGTCCGGACAGGACACTGTAATTTACAACTAAGAGAATGTCTGGCATGTATTAAGTGGGATACGATAAAGTATGTGTATGTGTGCTTGCGTTTATGTGTGTCGTTCATCCAATTGAGTGGGTTGCGGCCTGACCTTCAGTGCAAACATGACATCCAGCATCCCCATAGAGGTCATCACATTCCAAGCTGAAAACGATCCACTGATTTACAAATGCGAGTCTATCGCCTCGGCACCGTTTCGGTAGCCTGTGCGTACGGTTCGCTCGCTGTGCTTGGTTCTCTGTCTGCGCACAATCCGGTCCGCGTCTCTTTTGGTGTGTGTAAACACCGTAACCGAACGTGATCTGAATGTCGATGAATTAGCCGGCCGTCTGGAAGTTGAACGTTGTTTTGGCTTCTTGAGGAACGAATTACGGTTGCCGGTGTGTTTATTGTGGCATTTTATTGTAGACCAAATCATTTTCCTCAAAAGTCGCTTCCTGCTTTACTTCAACTGAAGACACTGACCTATTCTGTCGCTTTTCTATCCTCACTCGTGGATTGGGAAACAGCAGATTCAGCCTTGTCTTGATATTTCTGCCAAACATCACCTCTACAGGAGACTTACCGTACTCTCAGTGGGTGTGAAACGATAGGTAAATAGGAAACGGTCAAGCTTTGTTTGTAAGGTCACTACAAGCTGTTTTAACAGTCCTCGTCTCACTGACTGTACCGTCCGCTCTGCCAACCCGTTTGACGCTAGATTATAAGACGCCAATTTTAAATGCTGAATCCCGTTGCCAATGACGAATCGGTTGAATTCCGTGCTAGCAAAAGGGGACCGTTATCCATGCATAGGGTCTCTGGAATATGGAATGTGGCGAATGATGCACTCATTTTAACAATGGTGGTTTCAGACGTCGATTGCGTAACGGGATACACTTCAACCCACTTGGAGTGGGCGTCCATAAGTAACAGAAACATGGTTTAATTAATCGGGCCGAAGTATTTGGCGTGGACCCGTTGCCACGGCTTGTCGGTCCAGCGCCACGGATGTACTGGACCGGGGGTTTACGGCGTTGGTGTGCCTGAAAGCTATCACAATTCCTTAACATGTTCTCGATATCTGAATCTATTCCCGGTCATCAACAGTATCCCCTCGCTAATGTTTTCATTCTTGAGACACCTGGGTGTGCGTCATGGAGCTCCTGAAGAATCGGTGCCTTGCTAGGAGAAACTAGCCGGAAACACCAGGACACACAACCATCGAATAAGCACAGTTTATTTCTGCGTGCTTTAAGTGGCTGCAAATCGATGGTTCTTTCGTCAGGCCGTCCTTCTGTTAATAATCGTTTGACTGTTGCATGAACTGGGTTTCAATCTGTTACCCGACGGATTGTGGAGCTTCGTAGAGGCGTTGTATCTAGAGGTTCATCAGGTGAACTAATTCACAAGAAAATCGGGCATATGTGGCGTCCCTGCAACTGGTAGACGACTCAGGGCATCAGATGTGTGATTACTGGTGCCAAGAATGTTAGTCATTTTATAATTATATTCGTTTAAAGTCAGAGCCCATCTCTACACTCTTGGTGAGGACTTTTGCTGTATACATTTTGTCTCTCTCATATATATATATATATATATATATATATATATATATATATATATACATATATATATATGGTTGGCGGCATCCGGTTTCGGATTTGCCTGTCACTGTGGCAAGCCACAGGACGCCTGCGTCTACAGAGGGACCATGGATGGCTTGCGCTGCACCACCCACAGCTCCAACCACATACCCCATATCCAGTGTAAACCCGAAGGAATAAGACCAGGAGGCATGCGGATGGGAACCAGGTTTCATCAACGGAGCCGGCCCACACTCCTTTACAGGCAAACACAAGCACAATGTATTTGGGAATCAAGCGCACACAAGGCGGTGGCTGGACCGTAGTCCGCTCCACACTGAGTGCATGGAAGCACTCTTTGATCCTAACACGGCCACAAGGACCGTGCACCCTGTCCCCTCCAGCAACGACCAAGTGTCTTCTGGAGCCAGTATGGACGAGGTAGTGGGTAATAGACAGGTAGGCACCTTGTCAACATGCACATCAAGCCCAGCCACACCGGGGATATCAAACAACAGAAAATCACTTGAGAGAGATAGACAAAGAAAATAACTCGATTGATGCATAAGGAAACGGTGATATAAACCTTAAGTTAATGAGCATATGAAATAAGTTGTTTACAAACGAATCCTAGATAAGTTCACGAGGTCAGAAAGTATATTATACGGAAATGCCACGAACACAAAAATGTTATGGAAATCGAATACAATTGGCTTAAGCGAGGTGCGCAAGTTAATGGAATAGAGTACAGGTAGATATTTATATGAGAAAGAAAAGCATTAAGGCAAAATTGAAACCCCACCACCTGAAATAAAGAGACTTAGCATGCAAGCACGCGGTTAGTAAATCGAATGCAGCGTACCTACAAACGCTGCGCCGGTTCTGCCTATGTACTCTGCAGAACCCGTCGTCGCTTCGGTAGTAGTCCCGAGTGGCCTCGCTCATGGCTCACTAAGCCTGCCTGACTAAGGCACTCGCGACCACATGTTCTACAGCACCATGCGCTTGATGTCGATGGAGTACAACCCATCGGTGCTTGCCGCTTCCGCACTTGCCGCTTCTTCTCTGCCTGCATGAGGGCTTTCTCCCGCACTTCAGCAACCGCCTTCTTGATAAGATCGCGCCATGCACGCCGATCAACCGCCTTCGATTCCCATGATCTGCAATCAAGGTTAGAACGTGTGAGGCTCACTTTAATCATGTCCTGGTAACGTAACTTTGGTTTCCCAGCATGCCGCTTCCCAATACTCAGCTGACCGTATAAAAGTTGTTTCGGTATCCGCGTCGAATCCATACGGCTCACATGACCGAGCCACCTCAGGTGTCTCAATAAAAGTATGCAGTCCACTGCATACATCCCACTTCGGCGCAACACTTCCGTGTCTGCAAATCTGTCGCCCCAGCCGATCCGCAAAATTCGTCGCAGACACTGCTGATGGAACCGCTCGAGATATCGCACATCCCGACGGTACATCGTCCACGTTTCACTGCCGTATAGAAGAACGGACAGTACCATGGATTTGTACACCATCAGCTTCGTGCCAATGGTAAGCTGATGGTTGTTACACACTCGGTACTCAAGCTTCCCGAATGCTGCCGCTGCCTTCGACACGCGAATACGCAGCTCACTGTGAAGCTGCTGATCAGTCGACATCACACTCCCAAGGTAGCTGAAACGGGAGGTGGTTTCCAATACTTCAGCACCAATGCTGATTCGCGGCAACATTGAAGATTGCACCTCCAGTGAAGGCTGAAAGAGACAGACAGTTTTGCTTGTGTTGATGGTGAGCCCGAATTGGGCCGCTGTCGAAGCCAGAGCACTAGTCATGTGCTGCAACTCATCTGCGCTGTGTGAAAACAACGCACAGTTGTCAGCAAACAGCAACATACGGATAGTTGTCTCACAGACTAGAGTTCTCGCACCGAAACGACGGATGTTCAGCAACCCACCATCAATAAGGTGCTCCACACGAACACCGTAAGCACAAGCGGCATCAAAAGCACAAGACAACATTGCATGAAGATAGATATTAAACAGGGCAGGAGCTAAGACACAGCCTTGCTTCACACCAGAGACAACTGCAAAGTCATCCGAGGTCTCTCCACGCAGCTGCACCCTCGCTCGCATACCACTCTGCAGACATTCAATTAAACTTACAAACTTACGCTGGCAACCAAACTTACCCAACACCAGCCACAATGCCTCGCGGTTCACCGTATCAAATGCCTTGGTGAAAACAACAAAAAGTGAGTACAATGGCTGGTATCGTTCTCTGCACTTCCCTTGTAACTGACGAGCCGCAAACACCATATCTATAGTGCTGCGACCCGAACGGAATCCACACTGCTCCTCCGCCACGTTAGGTTCCACAACCTGACTGACGAGGCGGTTGAGCAGGATTCGGGCAATCACCTTGCCCACACAACTCAGCAAGTTGATGCCACGATAATTCGTGCAACATTGCTTGCTACCTTTGCCTTTGTACAGTGGTAGCACAAAAACATCCTTCAGCTCAGGAGGCACGTCCTCCTCAATCCTCACGCGTTGCACCAAATGGTGCAGCGCAGTCAACAACGCGGGTCCACCGTGTTTCAATACTTCAGGCGGGATCCCGTCGGCTCCGGCACACTTGCTGTTTCGCAGCTGAGCAAGTGCTCTTTGCGTCTCATCCAGTGTCGGCGTATCCACCAGAGTCGCCTTCACATCTTGCTGCTTGAGGCAGTTCAATGTAGGCCAGTCGATCTCTGAACGGTTGTTCAAGAGACAATCAAAGTGTTTCCGCCATATCTGCATTATGTCTGCAGTCTGTGTGCAGGTAGCGCCTGAACTACCATCGAGCAGCGTCCTCAGCGGCTCCAATCTCGCTCCATACACCGCCTTCAAGGAGTAGAAGAATTTCTTGTGTTGACGGCGTTCGGCGTAGCATTCCATCTGCTTCGCCTTCTCCATCCACCATGCATTATTAATGCGACGGAGCTCTCGGGTCAGTCGCCGTCGAAGTTTGCGAAACTGACTACTCTTTCCCATGTCACTGGGGTCACTGGGTGAGGCTAAGAGGGATGGGGTATGACAAAGAAACTCACAGCACGAACGCCACTTAGGTCGGCTCCTTGCCATGTCAGCAAGTGTGTCCAGCCAAACGTGTTCATCGTCTTTCGGACCCCAACCAGGGAGCCGAGACGCTCCAACAGAGGCCAGCTCAGAAGTGAGGGCCTTCATTCCTCTCGACCAAGTCATCGCTTGGCCATCCCTCCTCT